GACCGGTTCGAAGGCTCCTCGTTGCGAAATCGATGCACGCCGTCGTCGTTTCGCTGCGATCGTTCATTTCGTCGATTTAACCACTTAAGAACCCAAATAAACATCAAATTGTGCGGCAAAAGGAAAAGTTTTCTTAACGACTACATGTATAAATGTATTGAATGTTAACGTAAGTCTTTCGTCAAATATCACAAGATAGAAAAGGTAGAAGAAATATACGTGAAAAGAAGAAATATTCAATTATTAATAGATTTATATCTAGTTCTTAGTATTATAATTTTTTGATAGATTTCGTCTATTAGATTAATATTATATTATCTAACACACACATTTCTTGCAATCTAAAATTGATATATCATTAAAAATAAGTTTATCGTCTAACTATTACTATTAAATAAATAATATGAAGTGTCAAATTTATATTAAATAATACAAGATGTTCTGTTTAGTATAAATCAATAAAAATGGAAAAAATTTAATTACAAATAGTAAATTGTATAGTCAATTTTTAAGTTGTAATTCTAATTAGTGCTCCGATCTACCATGGAAAGTTTTTTAATTTATTGATAATTATTGTGTTTAACGATTGAGGACGATTATAAGGATACATTAATTTGTTGATTGTTTTAATGACTCACATTAAGTTAGAATCAAGTTTCCAAGAATATATCTCATATAATTAATTTATTCTACTCTATATAGAAGTTTTCCGTACGACGTGATTACAGTTCCTCGCGCGAAGTAATCAATATTTCTTCTGTATTACGGACGATTGATAAAATTGATGTTAAAATTTATCAAGTAGTCTTTCACTTCTTTCTCTATGTTATGATTAAATGTTTAATTGGTATCTAAGCAGTATACATATAGACGATTGATTTTCTATACACTTTGTTAAAGATTATAAATAGTTTTTAAAAATGATATTGAACATTATAAATAACTTTCCATTTTAAACCTATAAAAAACCTTAATTTCCTATCACACATTTATGGAGTATTATAGGTTCTTCGCAGTCGTTGTAAACTCTGATCAATTTGGAGATGTGTTTAAGACATATATATAGTAATATATTATTGGGTAAAATACCAAGCCAATAATTCATAAAAATGTTGTTAAAAATGTAGATATATGTATAAGCGCGTATTACAAATGTAGAAAAAAATCGATTGCAAATTGTTGAAGACAGTCATGAAAGAAAAGATGGCGAAAAATCTAGAATATTTTTAATGAACATTATAGTTCTTATATAATATGTATAGTTATTATTTAAAATTATAATATTAACAATGTATGTATTTGCATTCTTATTATAGATATCTTTCTAATAGAGATAATTGCATTATTGTATCAATTATCGGTGATATAATTATCACTGTGATATTATACACACAGTTCAAGGGTTTTGATTATGATGCATCTTTGTCAATGACATCAGTTCGATATTTATGTATGTGTTTGTCTAATATTATCCAGTATATTCTGATATGAATCGTGGCTTTTTCGAGTATCCACGAAGCAAAAACTAGGTTAACTTGATTAACACTAAAACTGGTTGCTAATGTTATTCAACGAAAACGTCATTGAAGTACCTGTAAAAAAACAAAGCTCCGTATTTTTTTTATAATTGTCATCTTTCCAATACTTCTTTTGTTTTATCTGAATATTTGACGTCATATTAAATCCTTTATTGCTGTTCTGTCAAAATTTACTTACATTTCGTCTTTTATATATATCAAATATATGTTAGTTACATACAATGTGCAACTAAATAAACCGTAAAAAAAACAAGCAAAAATCTGATTAATCAAAAATTAAAATGAAAACTATAAAAAACTTGATATTCTGAATAGCGAAATTTGTCATTTTTTTCCAATCTACACTGAACCAAAACTATATATAAATATAATAAAATATTCATTGAATTATGAAAAAATAATGAAAATTGATCCAATGAATTCTCATAATGATTTAGATCATAAAACTATTACTAGAATTCATTGCAAGAATGAATATATAGTTGTAAAATGAATTCAGTTATTGTATCAATGAATTAACTACATTAAGTCGGACATTAAGTCGGACATTGATTAACGATCATTCATTGGACCAAAAATGAACAAAATTTTTTTCAATGTACAGTTTACTGAAAGTAATTATCCGCAAAGTAATAAAATTTGATATGCAAAATCTGTGGACTTTCTTTCGAAAATTTCAAATTTAAAAAATTAGAAATTCATAAGAGATCTTATAAATAAAAGTTTTCTGAATATAGGAAGCAGGATATAGGAATATTTTAAACAGAGCAAACCTCAGAAAATAACATTCGCGACAGTTTTCGTGTAAAGATTACTAATACATTATCCTATAATATGAATAAGAGAGTTTGAAAAAAAAGGGAAGAGAAGGGAAGAAAGAGAAAAAAAACTTATACTTAAACAAGGTTCGCAGATGTCTGTAAGTGACGATATTGTGCTTGGCGGTCGTCCCGAATACGAATACTCGATACGAAACGCACGATGCCGAGCAAATTATGCAAAGCGAAAGTACCCACGTAAGAACGGGTTGCGCAAAACTCCGTAAGAAGAACGCCCGCGTGAGGTCGACTGGTAATACGGTACTGCGAAGACGCGCGAGGACGCGAAGCGAGCCTCTTGTTGGTGAATTTTGCACCGCCCTTACAAGTAGATTTGCCCTAAGATTCATCATCCCTCACTTTTCGTTAATCTCGCGAGCAAATCTACGACTCGAAAAACGTAAAAACAATTAGTATAATTATTTCGACGAAGGAAAAATATTTTAATTAAAATTTGTTTTCATCCTGTAGCGATTTTTGGTTTACTCTTATTAGAAAGCTACTCTTCATACGTCATAACAAAAATTATAAATTAATTACAATCCATATAGTTATAATTAATGTGCCATAATACCTGAATAAAAATAAAAACTTAATATATCAAATAAAATAACATATTAAACTTGGAATAATATGCATCATGTATATGTTATATATTGATGTATTACTATTACGAACATTTTTTAATCCAATACTTCTCTTATATACATATATAAGTATATTTTATATTTTATAAGTAAATGCGTTTATATAAAATTAATAGTTTGTTGAACATTTCATTTTGCTCCTTTTGTTTTTATGTATAACAGATTTACTTTTGTACCAAAAAAAATTAAGTATAATAACAGAGAGCGTGATCGCGCGGCGTATGCGCTTCGACTCTAATCGAGATGATCGTTAATAATACGACAGTGTACGTATCGAACGTCGATCACGTCGAAGACGACTATCATACATTGATTTCGCAACGAATACCTTTGAACCAAGCGCAATTGCACTCATGTCGGTGGTTGCACCAACGACAGTTAATATTACATATTTTGTTTTACTGGTGACATTCAATAAAGTACATCATGTTTTTCATTTAATTTTGCACTGTACATGATTTATAATACTAATCTCACATTAGGTAGTTTTGTAAAAAAGCATTATGCATTGGAGACTACAGACTTAATCGTACTCGTTACTAGATGCGTACGTCGTTTCACAATGCAAATTAGTATGCTAATTATTTCACGAAAGGCAACTTTTGGGATTGACCATCTGCTGTTGTACGAGTGGATATTAAAAATGTAAGGGAACGATTTGAGCACAAATGGATATGCCACAGCAATGTGTAACGTGAGATTTATTACAACGTTCGACGTACGCGTGATTAATGGGATTTTATAATTCACGTCGAATCGCGATCAGACATCTCGTTCTATTTCGTCATGTAGATGATATATGAGCATAAAGGGTTAAAGATCGAGTATCCCAATATTCGTTGCATCGTTTTCGCTTCGATGAAATCTTAAGCTCTGGCAAGTATGTGTGTGTATTCCGGGATTATACAAATTAAAATATTTTTAGATTTCAAGAATGTATAAATATAAACGCAAATAAACGAAGAAAACCATATTCAAAGTCGATCTTGGCACCTAATAATGTTTTTACGTGAATCTTATAATTCAGCTTAAACAAACAACACTGCGTGCTGATTATTTGTTGTGTGTTTTAAGATGCTAATCAGCAATCTGAGAACACTCTGTAAAGAATTTATTGTGAGAAAATATAGTTTGCTTGAACCGGAAATTGTAAGATTCACGTAAAAATATTATTAACCACCAAAATCCACTTTGACCGAATATGGCCTTCTTCGCTCATTTGTGTTTATCATTTCTTGGTTGATTTTTTATTTACTATTATATAAATATAAGTTTAGCTTTTTATAATTACATTAACTTGATAATTATTTGATTTCAGATTTCATCCTAAAACTTAACGGAGTAATCAAATTGTATTAAAATAACGGATGTTGTTCAAATAAATTATAATTCTTGATTATATACATAAATTAAGTTAAATAATTATAAGATAGTGGATTGCTATTTTTGCTTAATCTTATTTATAATATAGATAGGGCGAGAAAGAGAGAATTAATTCAATTCAGCGTTTAGTTAATCACCATCGCGTCGGTGCAATTTGTCTGAATATGTTCTACATATTGCAGGCACATATTCTATACATTACAGAACAACCTAGTTCCATATCAAATCCTATAAACTTTTCAGTCGGACCCTTTACCTTTTATGCTCCCTGACGACGTGTGGGGCGTCTGGGGCGCGTGCGAGGTCAACGGCAACGGCGAGCCCGAGGAGGTCGCGGAGTGTTCCAGCTTGGAACTCACCGCGCTCCACATCTCGAACATGTTGAACGCCGTGGTGACGGTGTAGACTGATCCGGGCGCCTTGTGCCGGCCCGGCGTAACATCCGCGGCCGTGTAACGGCGTTAATCCCGAAGATTCGTTTCACTCTTCGGTCCGATGCACCACTGTCGCTCTTTGGCGATGAGTCTGCTAACACTTCGGACACTCGCGATTAGTCTATTCCTCAGTCGGTTCACCGGCTAAGAGGTTCGCCTTGTCCTCCGTTCTATCTGGTCCTATCGTCTTGTTCCACTTTTTCTTCTTCTTTCTTTTTTTCCCTTTCTTCTTCGTCTTCTCCACGCCACCCCAACGACGTTACAACGTGACACGATTTATCGCGTACTATCACTCACCCCCCTCAATCGACGTAGCAGTCGTTGTTGTCGTTGTCTTAATGATCGCACCGTTGGCGGTTCACTCTAGTCACCCCGAAGTCGCAGCACGCCGAGTCTAGTACTCGTCGTGGTCGTTAACGTCGTTGCGTTCGCTTCGTTTGCCGTTATCGCGGTCGTTGGCGCGCTTCCCGTAGCCGTTGTCCGTGTAACCGTCGTTGCTGTCGTCGGAAATCGCGCCAGCACCCAACGACGTGACATGGCTTCGTCGAATTTCCCTTCTCGTTTTTTATCTGGAAGGGAGTTGCCATCGCGCCGATTGCGTGAGAGCGCCGACTTATAAGACACATATATGACGACTGTCATCTTATTTTCTACTATTCTCGATATGAAAGTGATTTTGATTCTATCTCCGTCAGAATTTTCCGAAAAACTTCAATATTAGTAAAGTCTTCATTGCATCATATTATATAACAAAACTTATCCGTTTATCATAAAATGTTAGAGATTAATACATAGATAAAATATATTTTATAAACTCTCTTCAAACTCTCTCCTTTTCATTTTTTGCAATATTCCATTTCAATTTATTTCAATTTCAATTTAAACAAACGTATTTTTCAATCAAATCCAAGAAGAATTCCTTTTTAAAACTTTCAAGTGCAGTTGAGCTAATTCGATAAGAGATCTACTGTAAATATATTTTCTCATTTAACTCAACTGCCATATATTTTCTAAGTTTCAAGATACGAGAAGAAGTAGAAAGCATAAAGTTAGCTCTCGCTCGATCAGCGATTACAACTTCCATCGGATCGTTTCGTGCCATCTTATTGCGGATAAAGGAAGATTTAATTCTGCCAGACAGCGAAAAGACAGATTAATAGAATTAATGATTAAAAAAAATGCTCACACGATATATGAAAAAGTTGCGGCGAGATAATGAGAATAACGGATCAATTTGGAGAAACACGACGCAAATTCCACATTGTGAGACATTTATGTAATCTCCTTGAAAGTTCTCGAATCAACTTTCTAAAATAATAGATGAACGAAAAGTTTTTATAATAGTACGGTATAAAGATCGTAAGTGCTAAGTGAAAACATGAAATAGAAAGATAAACATAATATAAATGAATATCAATTCTTAGAATCCATATAAAAACCTTAAGAACATTTTACAGTTAATTTTAATCTTTAGTCACACACACATATACAAACAGCTCTTTTGAAAATCAATATATGTATAAATTAAATACACGCTATGCATTTAAAAATTAAAGATTGCAAGAGTTTGACTATGAATGTCGTGAAGAATAGCCACGGCTCATGAATAGAAAATTGACTTGCACAGGATTATTTAAGACCGATGAAAGTAGAGTGAAAAGTTAAAACATAGAATTTAAATAGCAAGTGGATAAAACCTGACATCATGTCATCAATCCTGAGCGATCGATCTGCGGCAGACATAAAAAAAGCAGCCGACTCCTGGCGCATCGATCCTGCATTTCCATGCACCACGATGGTTCCCCTTTAATCTCAACCGCGTTGCAAGCAGTGGTGAGCTCGCGTCGAGGGGAACCGCGCATCGCTATCGAGCGAAGCTCGGCGACCACCGGCCGAGCTTGCGAGCCTGCTTCACAACGCCGACCACCCACCCGTATAGGGTGTCTTAAAAAAAATGTACGCCGATGATGCGGCTAAATTGCTCGACGAGATCGGGAGATGGAAGTCTTGACTTTGCTCAATGACTCTTGTTTATGTAATTTTGTGTATGTCATTGAAATTTCATATATCTCTAGGCTCTATGATTGAGATTTAAATAACTGTTGCAAATCTTTAATTGTATGAAAACAAAAGAGAAATTAAAGTAAGAAAGAGAAAGCAAAAGGGATAAATTTTCACGAAAAATGCAGGTACACCCGTAAATCCAAAGAGAATTTAAACATCGATTAATCAAGGATTGTAAGCGTTCTAAGATTCAACAATCTAAAGGTCCTAAGCACCTGACTATTTACAAACTAGACATGTGTTACTAGAATCTCAGGACTTATAAAGAGAATTCTTGACTTACAATCGTTTGAGAAATGCTGCTCCCGAGAATGCTAAAATCACTGTTTTGTGTATATATATATATATATACATATATATATATATACACACACACCTATATATATATATACACAAATATATATACATATATACACACATATCCCGAGTATATATAGTATATATACACGTACACGTATATGTAGATCCGTAGACTACAATAGAAGGAGAAAATTGTGAGAGAAGAGGAAGGAAGACGGAAAGTATAAGAGGAAAAGAGGGAGAAGGCTCGCGGTACCGTACGTACGGTTTACGTTCCCACTAGCCTACTGACTCGATGTTCCCTCTCAATGTCTATCCTTTCCGCTTTGTTCTCTTTTTCGCTTTACTATAGCGTCTAGAATCTTCTCCACGATCAGCAAAGAGATCGCGTTGTCTATCAAAATAAGACAAGTACAAGGTAAATTGTTTTTAAGCCAATTATATTTTTGCAATAGTAATTAAACTGCCAAATAAAATATGTCATGTTACATCTTCATTTCAACTTTCAGTCCTCAATTAGCATGATTAAATTTTGATTGGGAAACGACTGTAGTTAGGTAAGCTTTATGTGTGCAAAACTCAAATAAAAACGACATTGTTATAATGTAACAATTTTAAGATGTTGCAAAGTATGTAATACGTTATTAAATTCTGTATCAACGATTTAAAAAATTGTGCAATTATTTTTACTTTTTGCAGAATACACTAATTTTTTACTGTATCATACATTATTATGATACAATTAACATTTTGATATAATTAATATTTTAATTATTTCTTTTATAAATTGAGATGTAACAACGATATTAAACTAACATAATACATACATATATAGTAAATAAAATTAAGTATTAAGCAAATTAAATTACTACAGCCTGTGATCGTTTTATCCGCTCAAGCCGAATGTGTGCTAGCGGTAAAGTCAGGTGCAGCAAGGTGCAAATGTTATCAGACCGGTGTAGCAAATAAAGCCTAAAAGTCGGTGAAGTACGGCGTGTGCGCGCACGAGCTCCCGTTCGCGCGTGTGAATTACTTTCGCCCTGGGGGGGCATCGCATCTTATTTAGGTCGTATACATCGAGCATATACTTCGGTTCTGGCACGAGTATGTCAGCGACGTTATTACGGCATCGTTATTATCACGAGAGAGAGAGAGAGAGGGGGGGGAGGGGAAGAGGAGGAGGGAGAGAAATGCACAGGTGACCCGACCATGTGCACGCGATTCGCACTTATCCCTACCTGTCGATCTAGGAAAGACGATTTATTTGATATTTATTAAATAAATAGGAATTGCCAATAAGACAGCCGACACTTGGTATTGATACGTTTGATTTTATTCAAATGTAATTGTCCATGCATCAATATAATTATCCAAACGTTTTGATCTTCGATTTGGATCCTCTTCAGTGTAAGTTCAATGTTGACGTTTTTAATGCAATACGTGCTCTAACAGTGAAACGCGGTCTGTGTAAAACTGACTCAACTTCTTCATCTACACAGTTATCATCAAATTTCCATATTTAATATCATTAAAAACTTCGACATGGAATTTACACCGAAGAGGGTTCAAATTGAGGATCAAAACGTTTTCATCCTCGATTAAAAAATTATATTACGCACGGACAATTACATTTGAATAATATCAAACACATCAACACCAAATGTCGGTTCCTATTGGCATTTCCCATTTATTGATTTACTTCGTCAGAGCCTATAATTTCTCAACTTGGATATTTATTTCATATATTCGGCAACAGTCGATAAATAGTCTAATTTGATCTATATATTATAAATAAATGATTCCCTATATAGACAATTTTCAAGCGATAAACATAATATGTGTTCTTAATCGCGAATAAATTCATATACTAAATTGTCACTTAATTGAAATATCAATAATTATACAATAAATAAAATACACAATATGATTATTGACATATATGCATGTATATGCATATATACAAATCTGCAGCGATACAATTTTTGCATTGCAAAAATATTTCATAAAAATGCTTGGAACAATTAAGAATTAACATTAAAAGAATTAACATTAAATTATTAGATGAATCAATACTTTAGGTCACACATAACGAGACTTTTTCTTCGTTCATTTTCAAATATTCGACTTACTTTCTAATAGAGAGAAAATTAGTAAAACAATTTCAGTAACAATGCCTGATATTTTAAGACAATTTGCATATAACGTAATTTCATGTTTCCTATTGTTGTCTTCGTCCCATCACGTCACGTGGGTATTTCCGGTCGCCTCGCGAGGACACCGTCGTATAGATAACAACGGGAATAGTCTATCTTCTAATATACATTTTATGATTACATCATGTAAATTGTTCCATCGTGTGTAATACCGATGGTATCGCATAGATTTTACTACAAATTCAAACCTAATTACTAAATAAATCATCCTTTCAATAATTTCGCTCAAGATTTTACATTCAACTGTCTCTCTTCATTTTCAATAAGAAAATATTGTACTTGATTTAAAAAGCAAAAGTAAAATATATGTAATGCCAAAGGATTTATGAGAAAATGTCATCGAGAGAGAAACGCGGTCTGGAATTTCTCGAAAAACAAAAACTCGAAATTATAGCATGAAATACGCCGAATCACCCTTTGTGTACTTTTAGTATTGATTTGCATCCGAAATAATCCGTTATCATATTGAAAAGTTCTTACGTCTTCTAATACGTATTCAGTCGCATTAGGAAAGAAAGAAATCTCTGATTATAGCCTCGCGAATACGAGATATCACCGGAATGAGAACCCGTGCTTTTCCATTCGCCTGCGTGCAGCATGCGCTCGCGCACATATTCGCGCGTTTGTATCGCTGTGCGTGCGATGTAGGTATTACTTAATAATATCCATAACCGGGAGGTAAATGTTGAAGTGGGCGAGAGAACGAGAAGGAGAGCGAGAAAGAGCGAGAGAAACGAAGAGAGGAGAGGGAGAGAAAGCGGGATAAATATCGCGAAATCGTAAATGCTCCAAGTTATAAGATAATAAGGAAAAGTGGAAAATCGATGATGTGAAAATGAAAAGGACATCATTTATATTCTACAACATCAACAAGCTTTCTTTAGTTAAGTGAATTTTTTCGCGAGAGAAGAGATTCATTAATTGAGATTCGCGTGCGTCATTAGACACTGGAGAATAAAAAGCACACTTTTTCACGATATTAAAAAATTCTGTATTTTTTTAGAAAATATAATTCAATTTCCTATCTTAAATCCCAGTGTTTCCACTGTATTTACCGCTAAATATACCGTCCTACTATCCAATGCTAAATATTGTAAGATTCCTTTCGAATTTCCACTCACACAAATAAAAACGAATGCATCTATATTCGGCGGTAAACACACTGTTAAATGTTAACGGATAAAATTTAAATCAAATTCTTGAGTTTGTCATTTTTAAATAACATTTATACAAATATTTTAAAATAAAGTAAAATAACTTTTATTTTATTCTTCGATGGAAACAGACCGTTTAACGAATTTTTTAAAAATAAGTCACTGCAATTATTTTATTAATATGCCATTTGTTGTTTTTTGAATCGAACTTAAGTTAATCGTATATATAACTGTTCAAGAAGGAACATTCGCAATGTATGAATTATGAAATTATCTTTGATTCCACTAAGAATACATGGCTTCAATTTATTGTTAATTCGCTGAAGATAAAATAAGACCGAAATGTTGGTAATCAAAGAATGATGTAAACAACAAGAATTCATCTACGTTACTGACATATAACTGCGGTGTGCTCTCAGTTGCCTTTAATGTTCTATTATCGCAACTATTTATAAACGCATAAAAATATGACCGAACTAATTTCATCGTGCCAAAATAATTGATAAAATCTATTTATTAAAACCATTTTGAGATTTTTAAAGGCTGCTAAATTAATTGTTTAACATGATATAAATAGAAGCATAATAATCATGTATGACGATATGGACTTTTCATTGACGAGAAAGATAATATACTGCCGTATCAACTCTCAAGATCGACTTTCTTGACGCTGTCTGACGTTATGACGTACAGCTATTCCCAAGAGAGGCACCTACTCTCTGGGGGAAGAGTGAACCTGCACGAAACGAGCCGAGGGATAGGTTTTATTCTGGAACCCACCACTGCGTCGTTCATCAGACTGAATAATTCCGTAATGTCGCAGCAATCTCCCGAGGACGCGCGTCGAGATATCACAAAGAGAAAAAAACAACCCCGAAGAAGAAGTAGAAGTCGCGGTGACACTTGCTCGTCCCGTCGTCGTCGCACTCGCTCCTCCCCCTCCTCCACGTCGGCGGACGCGTTCGCATCACTCACTTTCACTGACTCGTGCGGCCCGTGCGGGCCGGCCGCTGCGGTTCCTCCGCGCGCAAGGGGTGGCACCGCGGCGCCGGCACGAGAAAACGTCGATACTACTCTTTTTCCCTCTCGTCGCGGCGCCGCCAAATAACGACGACGTGTGCACGACGGTGTCTGCCAAGTATGTAGCAGGTGAAGACGAAAGCGACGTCGATGCCGTCTTGCACCGGCACTCCGATACTCCGTGGGTCCGTTCGCGGGGCGTCGACTGGCACACTCGCGCGGACAGTCACGAGCAGCCCCTCCGCATCCCGACTATCCGCGCGCGAGGGCCGCACGCTGGCCAAGCAACCACGACGACGACGGGCTCCGGCTCGCCGTGTGCCATCGGTCTCTTCGCGGACGCGGTATAATTGCGGCGGCGACACGCGGAGTGTCGGAGATTGCACTCCTTTTCTCTCTCTCTCTCTCTCTCTCTCTCTTTTTCTCGCGATCGTCGTACGACGCGACGCAACGCCGGTCACTCCGCAGTGTTGGAGAACGCACGCGGCTCACTGTACGGGTCACTCCGAAACGGCCGAGCGCACGGTGCTCGCGTGGAAGAGGAGCAGGGAGATTAACGCGAGGCACTTGAGGGAAAAATCGCGACTATGTCAATTGCCGAACGATCCCTTTCCACGGGCACCGTGGCTGTCGCGCGACCGTGGCTCTGGGTTGACTGGTACGCGTCGCGCAAGACCAGAGAGAGCCAGCCCCACCGTTCGCCCTCTCGTTCCCTCTCTCGTCCCCCTCTCTATCAATGCCTCTTTGTCGGTCTTTCGCGTTTGCAAGTCGATTGAAGAGAGAGGGAGAAAGAGACGAAGAAAGCGTGAGTGCGATGGTGAGGAGGGCTCGGTGCGCAGGGCACCAAGTAGGAGGCGGGGGAAGGGTGGAAGGGACGCGGTGAAAGAGGGAATGCGCGTTGTGAGTAAGGAAACTCTCTCGCGACAGAAGAGAAGAATGGGATGGCAGGGTGAGAAAGGAGGAGCGGAAAGGGTGGAGGGCTTTTAGATAAGTCGAGACTGAAGAGATGCGAGAGGAAAAGGGTAGTAAGGGTTGCTGTAAACAGGATCACGTTGGGATAGGTCGAGTTGCAGCCCGTGCTCCCTTCGATACTTTCCGGAGTCTTCCGCACGGACGCGGACAATGCTCTGATCGTAAGGAATCCCCTTCGATGTTAACCGTCCTGATTACAAAGGGTGGACACAGGATGTTCATAATATAAATATAAGCTTTTGCGATGGTTTCAGCTTGAAAAGTTCTAATACATGCGTATGCTACATTACATCACTGCGACATGATGTCATACGGGAAAAGGTTATTAGGAGAGTTATAGATTCTAATGCGGATACCAATTTATAGATTCTGATGCTATTTTTGATCGTGACAAGTTTTTATCTAATTTATATATATCATAGATACTTGTATAATAATTTACGTTTCCGTATTCATGTGTTATTTACAATTTTGATAAAAAAAAAAACTTGCGTTAGGGATTATATTTTTAATTGATACTAAAAGAAAGATTATTTCCATTCGAATTATTGATTACACAATCTACTTAGGATATATATATTGTACAATTAAATAAAACTTAAATCCATTAGTTAAACCTCATTTAAAATGCGCTTTTTTCATTTGACGTTCCGATTATGTCAGCTCTTCGTTGCGCGCTAATAAATATAATAAACGACGATTTCATAACGATCCCTTCGTAAATGTAACACATATGTGACAAGAGGGTGGAGGGGAAATGGAGAGGGGGTTAAAAGCGTTTACTTTCTGTCTGGTGAGGCCGGTTACAGAATGGCGCACGCATTTACCGTGCCACGATCGATCCTAAACGATCGATTGGTAGGGATACGTCGTCGTCGTCGTCGTCGTCGTCGTTGTCGTTGTCGTTGTCGTTGTCGTTGTCGTCGTCGTCGCCATCGTCATCGTCATAGTCGTAGTCGTAGTCGTAGTCGTAGTCGTAGTCACAGTGGTAGTCGTAGTCATCATTGTCGTTGCCACAACGAAGCAGGCGTTACTTTAACGGAAAGACATCGCCTTCGTCGTCATCCGGGTGTTACCGTTAAGGCTAATCGTGATTTCTAATTCCGTAGTTAGAGCAGTGTCGTTCGACTATCGGGAACCGAACGTTGATGAGAATTTCAAGAAGACATCGGTGATTTATACGAATGAAGATTAAACTACCACCGAACATTTAAACTTGAACGTATCATCGTTTTAGTTTAACATTGAATGCATCTTAAGCTTTCTATTATCAAGGAAAATTGTAAACTTTCTTTGAAGCAGTGCCTTTTGTGTTTTAACCTTAAATATATCTCTTACTATTTTTTCATATATTAAAATGTCGAAATAATGTAACAATGAAAATTAATTATTTGCAATTATACTGGTACAACTTATACTGGAGAAAATTGTTCAGAATAACTTCATTAGCTTTCATAGTTACGAGCAGAAGAGTTAAAATTAAATTATAGTCTTTTAACAATTAAATATGAAGTTTATGTAATAAATAATACGATAAATAAATTAAAATTAATATAGTAATTATAGAGAGATTGCTGAAAGATTTAGAAGTGCGGAATATTTTTAACGAGCGCTTGTATATATATAATAAATTACAAGCTGATATATATAGAAGGAAATGTAATAGCGATCGTCGATGGATTTTTCGAAATATAAATTGATAATGTAAATTCTACACGGAGAAAAATGTAAGGTAATATACACTCGAATTTTAATAAATTGTATAGAATTGGCAAATCCATATAGAGGAGAATAGACGCCCACTTATGTACAATTTTCTTTACATTTCTGATAAAAGAGCAATCATCGATTAGTCGTAGTATTGTAAAGTACTTTTTACATTTCATAAATTTATGCTTTAGAAGAATTCTAATAAATTTCGTTTTACACAAAAAACAATATAAAGTACGGAGAACAATGTAAAGTAATATACGCTAGAATTCTATTAAATTGCTTTTTACACAGAAAACAATAGATATAAAGTAATATACGCTAGAATTCTAATAAATTTAATGGAATTGGCAGGTCCATTGTATACGACATAACCGTAAGGTACTTTTTTTTTATATGTCGTAAAATAAATTTATAAATTACCATACATCTTAATAGAATTCATTGACAAAATTTACTTTACTGCGTATAAAAAATACAAGTGTGTAAAAGTCCTGACAGTTGTTTGCTCATCAGTCTTGAAAATAGTACGATTTATCCCAAACAACACAAAATGTCCAAAATCAAGATATAAGACGTCTTTGGCGTCTAAAAGACGTCTTAAAAATTTCTTATGTCTTAATTTTACACTTTGTATTGCCTAGGACTTTACTGTAAGTATGATTTACTTTACTGAAAGTATGATTTATTTTACTGTAATTATCACTTGAAATGATATACTATAATTATAATGTATTTTTTACCTTACATCTCCGGTATTTTTTACTTTTAGGCAAGTAAAATTTATCGTAAATTCGGCAGAAACAGTCAGAATATTTTTACTAGTCTTTTAAGGTCAAAATTTCTCAATTATTTTTCTTCGTGTAATGATTTAAAGAATCTAATAATTGCTATGGACGTAAATAAATTGTAATCATCGTTTTAACGAATCTCTCTTCTGGTTTTGCTAGGCTTTTTACTCTTAAAGTTCATTTATATATATATATATATCCTCTTTCTTGTTAATAAGCATTCTAATACTCATTCATTTCTCTTAAGTAACCGTTGTAGACAGTTTCTTTTCATATTCATTAGGTAGTTTCGTAACTCATTTTTATATTTCTATATAATTGTGTGCATATTTTCATAATTAATCAAATTATACCAGACATTTCAAGTTAAATGTTTTAATTTGGCATTACTTGGCATTGTCATACCGTTTTTCGGCGTAACAATTCCTCTTCGTTCAGAATTGAAATATATAGAACTTTTTTCCAATGATCATATAAAAGCATCCGCGACACTCGATATCGCACCGTTAGGTCGTTCACTCCCTGCTACTCAAGCTCATTGTCGTTTTGCGTATTATTCCAGATGACGGTTTCTCCGCAGGTACGTGGGAAGACGCGACGAGACGATCGAATCGATCAGTCCAAACGGGAAAAGGGATCTCCATTATCTGGCTGTGAAAAAAATGAATCGAAATTCTTAAAATCTGATATATAAAACCGAGCCGATACTATGCGAGATGAAAGAAGCTAGCGATTGTTAGGATCTGACAGTTTGGATTTCAAAGTACTCGTATTTCGGACACTTATCAAAGTACCTACTCATCGCTCAGAAATATTTACATAACGTTGCAAATATATGAACTTTGTCGATAAAAGAGGTCCATTCTAAGGAAATTTTCGAAAAAAATGAAGTTAACATGTTATTATTGTAGCCAGGTTTTTGTTACAAATATTTTGCGAAACTTTACTTCTCTCTACTTTCATTTAATGCTTTTTTTTCTGTACTCATTACAAAAACGCATATTAAAAAATACATTTAAAATGTGATTGTTCAACCAATTAAATATAAAATATATATGACGTTATGTATTGTTATGATCACACACGTAGTGCTCAGATTTATATTATAATTAGAAAGTAGTTAGTGTTAAAGAGTAACTTTTGCAATTGAGTAATACATAGTCAAAATAAGACTTGTCACTTTTCCACAAACTGGACTATCATTAAAAATTTTTTAAATACAGTGAATGAATGCGTTAATAAAAAATAATGTAATATTGCAACAATGTACTGTTATGTGGATGGAGATACTACTGTTATTGCGAATTCTCACAGTTTTACCGACCATATGGGCGTGGAATCGTGCGGGTTTGGTAGAAGACTTGTGACGCAATAGTCTACCGGTTATCTGTGATGGAAACGACAAATTACAGTTATTTACGCGCATCCACTGTCAATGACCCATGCGGCTTGAAACCGGACACAAAAGAGCGATGAATCGAACGGTCGAGGACGTTGCGGTTTTGAGTCGGAGCCTGAATTGGGAATTTTATCAGCGATTCTCGATTCACGTGAAATCCCGTTATTATGACATCTCTCCTTTTATATTATTTATTATATATATATATACATATATACATATAAAATGAATAAATGCCGCTCTATCTCCCAAGTTATTTAAATCAAGACTTCAAAGAAGAATCAATAAACACACACATATACATATATGTATTATATATATTATATATTATACATATGTATATACATATTTATATTAATTCTCCTTTAAAGTATCGATTTAAATAACTTGGAAGATAGAGCGTTAATCATGATCATTTCTATTATAATGTATTATTATTAACGTAGTAATTAGTAGATAATTAATATTATTCGCAATTATATGAATTGGTTTAATTAAATAGCTGCAGAATTCATAATCGAAGAGACATACAACTAAAGCGGGTATGATCTCTTAAAGTTATTTATCAACGTTCTTTGAATATTATACAAATCAGTTAAAGAATTATACAAATCAGTTAAAAAATTATATTATATGTACTAGTAAACAAATGTAATGAAAAATAATCATTTATTTATAGAGATAAGTCAATCTTCATAAGAATATGTCATACCTTCTTCAACCATTTACCCTTTTAATTGATACGGTTAAGCAGAAAAAATACAGC